ATTTCGATAAATCAAGTGATTATTAGAATTTCTAAGAATAATCTTAATCTAAACTATTACTTTATATACGTAATTTAGAATATCCTTATTTCTAGATTTATAAAGATCAAAAGAAAAGAAAGAATTTAAATATAATACTAATATATTGCAAATTATTCTTTGGACAAAAACATAAATTTAATATTGTTTTTTCACATAAACATTCCATAATTTCTAGCATAAGCCATAGGAGGTAACTTAGGATGTTCCTAAATGAATTATAAAACAATATAAATACCACAGCATCGAATTGAATAAACTTAGGTTTCATATCACCACCCTTAAATATTATAAATGCCCCTTTATTTTTCATTTGATCACAATAATTAGGAGCTGAGAAAATAGTAATGACTCTGCCATCTGCTTCTACTTCATATCCTTAATCCTTCATTTCATGTGATCTCACCAATAAAGCTTTTATTTTAATATAACTCTTATACATAAACCATTTTCATTTAAGAATTTATGAGCAATATCAGGTCCAAAAGAAATAGAAATACCTCTTTTACTTGGATGTCTTCCATTCTATTTTATAGGATCACTCCATAACATATCAGCCATGGGACCCGCTTCAGGAATTTCTCTAAAACGATTTAATTTCTATAACTCACTAATAGTAACACCATCATTAGAAAACAATCCCTATATTTTTTAAAAAATTATCTTACTCCATGAACAACCATTACTTATTTGGATAGAGTATAAGCTAATGGTAAATAGTTGAATACTGTTTAAAACAATTCATAAACTTTATCATCATATTTATGTTTGACTTCACCTTCAAATCCATATAATTTGTTCATATTTCTACTTTCATGATTTCCTCTTGTCAAATGCATAATGTCTGGATTGCATACTTTCCATGCAAACAATGTCATTATAACTTCAACACTCCAAGATCCTCTATCCACAAAGTCTCCATTAAATAAATAAGGTCTTTTAACTGATGGATTGCCATTTATTTTAAATATGTTTAATAGATCAAAGAATTATCCATGTGTATCTCCACAAACAGTAAACTCAAGATCTCTATAAAATATATAAGTAAATATTTACTTAGGAACATCATATTCAACTACATTTTGTTGAGATTTCAATATTTCTCCTACCTTTTGTAATATCATTACTGCATATTTTTTATGCAATTTCTTTTGATCTTTATAATGATTCATCAAATTCTCACACCTTATCATAATCAATTAAGCATTACCATTCTGGTGTAACTTCACTAATTTCATTATCAATCCTTGGTCCATCATATCCTTGTTCTACAGAAATGTCCCTGATGTCTATTGGCTCACTTGCTTCATCTGGTCTTTCTATAGATTTTGCAAATTCTCGTTCATAGATTGCCTATTTGATTTATTTGAGTTTTGCCTAAATATCAGCATCTTTTCCTTAGGTTAGAGTATCAGCCTATGGAAATTTATTATATTTGTTACTCTTTTGAATTCTTTTCTAGCATCGTCAAACTTACCCAATAATAAATAAGCTGAACCTTTTCTGTAATAAGCCTTAATGAATCCAGAATCCTCTTTTAAAATCTCATCTGCATCTATGATAGCCAATCCATAGTTTTCCATTTTGATGTGTGCAAATGCTCTATTTGATAAACAAACAAGTCTTTGATTTCCTAGTAATGTATAAGAAATAATTATTACCAGTAGCTTTTTCAAGAGCAGCAGTATAGAGTTCAATGGCTTATTAGAAATTACTTAATTTGAATTATTCATTTCCTAATTCTTTAAGTTTTTCAGCTTCAGGTTAATTTGAAATCATTTAATTCTAATCTATAATAAAAAAAGAGAAATATTTAATATATTGAAACAATCTTTTTTTATTAAATCCACCACATAATTAAAAATAGGAAATGAAAGGATCTAATTAAAATATTAGATTATAAAAAGATAATTAAAATATTTAATATAAAAAAAGATGTTGTTGTTTATTTTACAATAAAGTATTTATATATAAATTTGCTTTTAATGATCAAAAGAATAACATTTTTACAAAGTCTATCCAAGAGAAAGTAATAAACAATTATTAAAAAATAAAAATAATTGAATGAATATTTATTCTTCCAGTCAATAAGATTAAATCGCATCTCCTGACAATCTAAGTTAAATAAGTTGGAATAAGGTTCATTAGAGTAGTGAATAGATTTTGGAAAGGTATATCAATTAAGTTTATAAAATAAAGGTCAAAGAAAATACACAAAAGATAACCCTAAGATGTATAATAGAAATGGTTCTCAATTTAGAAAATATCAAGTTGCAAATTAGATATTTCTGAATAGAACGATATAGATTTAAGAGATTAGAATATTTATGAATTTGATTATCTAAAATTAGATTAAGATCTGTTATCCAAAAAATATCCCATCATTGTAAATATACCTATATATATATAGATTGAAGATTTAAAGTCAAAAAAAAATTACTAAATTAAACCAATTTCAATAAAATCTGACATAATTGAAGTATACATTTTGGTGCTAATTATTTAGAAATTATTTTCATTAAATAATAAATTTATACTTACCCCTGATAAAATTTTCACCTATTCAGCTTAGACCTAAAAAATTGATGATTTGGCTAAAGAAATAAGTATTTAATTTTACTTTTATATTAGAAATCCTTCACATTTCATTCTAATTACTAGTGTATAAATGTAGTAATAAAACAATTCTCCATTTCTTAAATGAATTGACGAACAAGCAAATTTAAACAATATTCTTAGATCTAATTTAAGGATTGATTTCTGCTCAAGATCAATAATTAGTCTTAAAATAAATTACTTTAGATTCTATTTTATACTTTGAAGATACTAAATCTTTTAAATTGATTGATTACACTGATGCTACAATTGGAAATAATAGAATTAATTATTAAGATTTAGGATTTTGTTTAGCTTAAATCTTACAGATCAAAAATTCTTAATTAAGTATTAAGAATAATAATTAATCTATTATTGAATGGTTAAAAACAAATAATGAAGATCATCTTTCTTAAGTTGCCTTGTATTTAATTTTGAATGAAAAACCAATCGAAGAAATCATGACTTTATTGCAATAGATTGATACTTGATCCTCTAACTTAAAATACAGAAATTCCTAAAGTTATTAATATTAATTATGTTTATTTTTGTCTAATTTCTTCTTGTTTTTTCTCAGGAAATAACTTGGACTAATTATTCCTTTGCTTTCCCGTAATTTATTCCTTTAATTGCTAATAAAACTGTTTTTTCAAGAACATTTGAAGAATTTGGATAGATCTTGTATTCACAATATTAAAACTATGTAGAAATATCTCAATTGAATATAATGGAGACATAATAGAACCTATTTGCAATTTTGATTATTAATCAATGCTTTTTTAAAGATAACCATAAACTTTAATAGCATTAGTAACTGATCTGCAGTAAATTGATATAGATAGTTTAAAAACAGAAGAAATTTAATAGGGATTTTCAAATGAATTAATTTCATATGCAATTATAGATAGAGATTTGATTCTATTGGAAAAAAATGGAACAATCCATCATTTATTTTATAGTGATGGTCCTAAATTTACAAATTATACAACTCATTAATTATAAATTATTTTAGATAAAAATGAAAATTCATAAATTTTAGCAGATAACTAATCTTATTATTATGTTGATAGTGAATAATTTATTAAATTCAATATCAATAATGGCAGTTTACAATAATTTAATATTCATAATTGGAATAAAATAAATGGGCATTTCAAAATATTTATAAAATAAGAATTTGTTTATTTAATAAATAATATTTATGGAATGAGTATTTATAAAATGCAAAATAATATCCTATTACCTTTTAATCAATTAATGATTAATGTATTTATATAATTTAATTTAGGATATTTATAAAAATAAAAACATTACACATTTGAATTTAGTTGATTACTCTATAGATAATGAATTTTTATATTTGTTAGACTATGAAAATGGAGTCAGTCGTTTTAATTTTACATCAATGCATATCGATGATAGTTTCTTTATTTATCAAAAGGGATGTAAAGTAATATCTATTTAAAATAATCAAATTATCTTAATTTAATAGAATCAAATATTATCAGAAATATATGAAGGTAGAATTGTAAATGATAGTTGGTTTATGATCAGAAAGAAGACTGTTACAAAATAAATCATAAAAAATGTTTAATAATTTGATAATTATGCTTTATTAATTAGCAATCCAACAAACAATATATATTAAAAGAATTTAATTGAAAATTTTACTGATTTATCTCTTAATAGTGGGTAATTAGTTAATGAAGTTATGTAGTAATAATTTTTATTAAATGGAGTTTTTGGGAGTGATTCAAATGGATAGTGATTTTATAATTGGAATCTACAAATATGGTGTTGCTATCTATATTGCATAAGAAAGATCAGCCTAAATTTCTTGTTAAGCTAGACTGAGTTAATAAAATAGAGTCACAGTAAATTTAAATTATATTTAATAGATTCGTCTTAATAGTACTAATTGTCTTAATAAAAATTAGGAAGACGATTTTAATTATTGTCAATGTCGACTTGATTATGTATTCGATGTTCATGGAGTTTTGATGTCTCCATATTAAGAAGATCTTTACATATATTTATGTGTTGTAGCCTTTTCAATAGTTGTTGCATTATTTGTGGCAATATTCTTTATAATTAGAAGATATCAATTGAAGAAAGAGAAAATAGATCATTTAAGAAAAAGTCGAAGAACTTTATCATATTGAAATTGAAAATATATAGATTCTTTAGATTTTATATTATTTGCTATTTAAAAAATAAATTTTATTAAATTTATAGACTTTACTTTATCCTAAGATTATTAATATTTAGTTGGTTTAATAAGGATTAAGAAGTAATTTAAAGATGCAAATATAATAAGACAGCCAACTATAAGATTTCTAATAGTATTTATGATATAAATTTTGATATCAAATTGTGGGTAACCAAGACATATCTTTTTCGAGTAATTTTTTGGCAATTTCTCTTTCAACATAATTTAATTCCTATTTCTATTACAAACATATTATAAAAAATAAATATGCTGATAATTTATGCACCTTTTCTATATGTTCTTGCCAACTTATATTTCTAAAAAATATTATTTTTTTTATACTTTTCTCGACATTAATAATATGATATATTACAAATTTTACAAGATTTATTCTTTTAATTTTTAGATAATAGATTTTTATGAGAATATTGTCCTGTAATAATGCTTATTATTAAAGCAAAACAAATAATAAAAACAACCAAAAAAAAAGTTACCAAAAATATATAATTACCCCATTATTAATCAGGATACACATCAGTTTAACTAAAAGCATTCTATAATCTAAATCCATTCCCAAAAAATCTTAGGAAAATAGTAATGAATGGAAGTTCCAAACTTTAATCTTCTTGGAATACTGATATATCCTCTATTAAAAATGCCAAGAAAGCATAACAATGAATTACTATCAATGCTAAATAAAATATGAGAATTATTTTGCCAATATTTACAAAAACAGATTCTAATACTTTTTTTAAACCCTAAAATTAATTAATTTATTTACTTTCACTCTTGGAACTATGTCAAAAAGTAATAAGGAAATAAATGGTGATGCCAAAAATGATAGAGCTGCCAAAACCAAATAGCATAAATGATATAAAAATGTTACATTAGTTATTTAAGCCAATATTCTATTTTAGGTAAAGAATTAATGCATTTTAATTTTCTTTTTTTAATTAGTTTTCTTAAGTCTTTATAAATTTGGATAAATGTAATTTAAACTATTATCATTACCTTTGAATCCTAGAGAATTATCTTCATAATTCTATTCTCTATAATAATTAACTCTAAATGCTATATATGGTTATTAATTAATTATCTCTATTATTAATACAAATAAAGATAGAAGTATTAAAATAATAGTTAAAATAATTACANGATATCAATTGAAGAAAGAGAAAATAGATCATTTAAGAAAAAGTCGAAGAACTTTATCATATTGAAATTGAAAATATATAGATTCTTTAGATTTTATATTATTTGCTATTTAAAAAATAAATTTTATTAAATTTATAGACTTTACTTTATCCTAAGATTATTAATATTTAGTTGGTTTAATAAGGATTAAGAAGTAATTTAAAGATGCAAATATAATAAGACAGCCAACTATAAGATTTCTAATAGTATTTATGATATAAATTTTGATATCAAATTGTGGGTAACCAAGACATATCTTTTTCGAGTAATTTTTTGGCAATTTCTCTTTCAACATAATTTAATTCCTATTTCTATTACAAACATATTATAAAAAATAAATATGCTGATAATTTATGCACCTTTTCTATATGTTCTTGCCAACTTATATTTCTAAAAAATATTATTTTTTTTATACTTTTCTCGACATTAATAATATGATATATTACAAATTTTACAAGATTTATTCTTTTAATTTTTAGATAATAGATTTTTATGAGAATATTGTCCTGTAATAATGCTTATTATTAAAGCAAAACAAATAATAAAAACAACCAAAAAAAAAGTTACCAAAAATATATAATTACCCCATTATTAATCAGGATACACATCAGTTTAACTAAAAGCATTCTATAATCTAAATCCATTCCCAAAAAATCTTAGGAAAATAGTAATGAATGGAAGTTCCAAACTTTAATCTTCTTGGAATACTGATATATCCTCTATTAAAAATGCCAAGAAAGCATAACAATGAATTACTATCAATGCTAAATAAAATATGAGAATTATTTTGCCAATATTTACAAAAACAGATTCTAATACTTTTTTTAAACCCTAAAATTAATTAATTTATTTACTTTCACTCTTGGAACTATGTCAAAAAGTAATAAGGAAATAAATGGTGATGCCAAAAATGATAGAGCTGCCAAAACCAAATAGCATAAATGATATAAAAATGTTACATTAGTTATTTAAGCCAATATTCTATTTTAGGTAAAGAATTAATGCATTTTAATTTTCTTTTTTTAATTAGTTTTCTTAAGTCTTTATAAATTTGGATAAATGTAATTTAAACTATTATCATTACCTTTGAATCCTAGAGAATTATCTTCATAATTCTATTCTCTATAATAATTAACTCTAAATGCTATATATGGTTATTAATTAATTATCTCTATTATTAATACAAATAAAGATAGAAGTATTAAAATAATAGTTAAAATAATTACAATAATATGTACTGTTTGATTTTTAAATTAATATGTTTCTGATTATCTTTCTAAATCAGCCAAATAGCATATATTTAATGTTAAAACAAGTAAATAGTTAAATGATTTAATGAGATGTATATTAATTGAAAACCAATTTAATTTTGGATACATAGAAATATGTTATCTAAAAATTACTTCTTTTTAAAAATAATCTGACATTGTTTTTAATTATTCATATCGACCTCTTCTCATTCTAAGCATTTTGGCTTTTTTTGTAGTTTATTTTAATAAGAATGATGATTAAAATGGTAAAACAAAGTACTATAATTTTGTTTCATCATTTCTTTTAATTTATATTTATCCAACATACTTACTAAAAAAATTAATAGCTTCTGCCATTTTCAAACACATATTTTATTTAATAATATCTCTTTAATTATTTTATTAGGCTCCTTCCAACCAATTAATTGCAATTTCTTCTAGTTTTTATTCCATCTTACTTTCTCTTTTTCCATGTGTTTCAATTACAGCATCCTGTTCTTCAAATTTTTTAAAAGGAATAGCCTCTTCTAAAGTTTATTTCACTTATAATTTTTTATTTGTTATCTTGTAAATACTTTCTTTTAATTTACTTTTAGGACTAGCCATATCACCTAATAGAGATTATTATTTTTTTAGAACAACAGGTGATTTAATACTTGTAGATTTCTTTTTTACATTTATTTTTTGCTATTACTTATGTTCCTTAATTTCTAATGATGTTATCACAGATTCATTAGATTATAAATACTCTCTTAACAATTCTCTCCTCTTATCATCAAATGGCTGTTATTTGACAAATTATTTCATACTCAAATAAATTCTTAAGAAATTGATATTTTGCTTCTAATTCAATGATAAATCATGAATCTAATCTCCAATTACTCTATCTTTAAGGGTTTACCAATAATCTCTCTTTATTTCTCCCTTACCCACTTTGTCGATCTTTTCACAAAGGATATTAAATAGAATAATCAAATCAAAACAGATTGTAAATACCTCAAATTCTCCTGGAGCAATTAAATTATATTAACATTTTAAATAAGTGCAATTAATATTATCCACATGTGTACATTTCTATCCTTGAATTATAATTTAGAGCCTAGGAGCAAAGGTATCATAAATGGTCAATAGTTTTTCAAAAAGGATTTAAAAGTTTAATTCAGTGTAACTTTGATGTAAATCTAATTGAACTAATAAAAGTAGTTTTATTGTTGCTTTAAATAAGGTTCTGTAATTATTATCTTATAAATTATCAGCCAAAATATCATACTTTGGAGTTGTAATGACAAATTAAATAATTTAAATTAAGGGTTTATGATTAAATACCAAATTTTAGTTTTGTGTATTTCCTTCACAAAAATTATTTAAACATCTGAAAGATTCAGTATATAGTGTTAAAATATCAGTTTCTGTACATATATGAGTTAATTATGATCTATTGATATAATTAAAATAATTGGTAGTAAAATATAAGACTTCTTCAGTAAGAGAGGATTGATTTGCAGAATCTCCAAATTGTGAAGAGACTTCTAAACATTGGATAAGTTTTCCTATAAGTCTTAAAATAGAAGCAATAATTTTAAAAAATTATCCTAGCAATTAATTCTTTTCATTGCTTAGATCAGTCTTATTAATAAATAGACGATTATCATTACTTTATGTACTTTATTTAAGATGCTACTCTAAACTAAATAATCTATCAACTTAATTAAATGTGCGTGATATAAATTTATTGAATTAAAACCAACAATCATTCTAGATAACAGTGGCTAATTGTTATTTATTCATCATTTAAATTTACTCAAAAATAAATAGAGTTTTTTTGACTTTTTTAATACTTTTAATTGTGTATTCATTATCGGTTTCTTCTAAATACATCATTAAGAAAGGTATTTGTTTAAGACAAAAATGTAATAATCTATCTTTTTCAATAATAGATTAATCTCTTTGTAAACATTCATAAATTATATTTAATGCTAATTATTTTTATTAAATAGCCTCTTCTTTAAGTAATCTAGAAAATATGTAAGTAACTTCATCATCATTAGATAATTTTAAAAGGAATTATTCTTAGAGATCATTAAATAAAGCTTTATCTAATCTATAAAAATTGTATGGATTATCTGGATTGATAAGTAATTCATATTAATAAATAAATTAACCATAAGTTTATTAGATAAAGAGAGACTATATTATAAATAAGAAATACTTCTTGTTGATAATTTTTCTATTGAATCTTCTTTTTTTATAATTCCTTAAGTTCTACTTTATTGTATTTAATTTTTTGACTATCGAAATAGTTTATTAGTTTTTATAAAAACTTATCTATGAAAAGAATAGTTATGAATTTTACTTATATCTAATAAATTTTTTGTGGAATCTCTTAATTACATATAGGATTCATAATATTTTGAGGCATCTTCATAAGTTAGATATTTAGAAATATCTGGTAAAGTTTTAGATAATTTAATTTATATCAATTACTAAAAGTGTTCATCCAAAATTTGATTGAATAAATTACAAAACTTATCTTTACCAATTAATTTATCTTAAGTATTGACACTATATTAACCTTCAGATATTAATAACTCTGTGTGAAATTAAAATTCTCCTTTGATTTTATCCATCATTTCATTAATTGTAAGATGTTTTTCCATCATATAACATTTCAATTTTTCATAAAATTAATTTAAATTTTATTTTAATTCATCTTAAGATGGTTTAGGTAGAGCTTTTTATTTATATTCTTTAATTTATGTTTTGATAGCTCTTTGAGTCTTATATTCTTAGGCATATTTAATAGTTTTGAAATTCTTTAAATTAGATTCTAAGGGACATTACATAAGACATTTAGATATATAATGTTATAATTATGCCAAATAGACTCGATATTTTGGATATTATAAAGTAGTTTCAATTAGATTTAAAGTTTGTCTAATATTTTCTAGAATTAATTTAATTAAAGCTAATGGTTCATATAGTGAATCCTCAGTAATTTAATTAATTTATTCAATTAATGCAATCTATTAATTTTATTAATTTTCTGATATATTCCATTTTCTATTTTATATTTCTTAAAATAATTATTGTAATAACATTAAAACACCAAATTGAATATTTTACCAATTAGAAATCTTAAGGAAATATTTCCAATATTCAGTATTATCAAAAACAATTCTTTTTTATTCATTCATTTATTAAACTTATTATTAAGCAGCATTTGTTTAATTAGGCATACCAGGTGTTGTAGCTAATAAATTCTTTTTTTTTTCTTCAGTATCTTAAAACATTTTTTATTTAATCATATCTACTTATAATTTATCTTTTTAAATTTTTTCCTTATCTTCTTCAGTATTAGTCTCACATTATTTTAATAATCCATCTAAATATTTTGGATAAGCTAATAAATCATTCAATAATAACATTAATAATTCTCTCATATCTTACATAGTAAATGTATGTATTTATTATATCTAAGTAATATATACTA